TCACATCCAGTTCTTGCTTAATATATATTATGTACCTCGGCCGGGCCCCGGGCGCCGGCGTGCTCAAGGCCTGTAATTCCGCACTTGGGAGGCCGATTACGGGCGGATCCACGAAGGTCAGGAGATCGAGACCATCCTTGGCTAACACAATTGAAACCGCTCTACTAAAACATACAAAAAAATTAGCCGGGCGTTGGTGGCCGGGGCCTGTAGTCCCAGCAACTTGGGGAGGGGCTGAGGCGGGAGAATGGCGGGAACCCGGGGAGGCGGAGCTTGCACAGTGAGTGGAGGTTGGGAGATCGCGCCACTGCACTCCAGCCTGGGCGACAGAGCGAGACTCCACCTCAAAAAAAATAAAATAAAATAAAATAAAATAAAAATAATTTATGTACTCAACGCATTAGGAAGAGAGGGCACCAGAGAAAGAGGGATGTCAGAGAAGGGCGTCACAGAGAGTGGGGGCCTCAGAGAGAGAGGGGGCATCAGAGAGGGGGGCACCAGAGTGGGCATCTGCCGCCTGGGCAGCCCTCCACAGGTGTCCGTGGAAGCACCACCACAGTGTGGGCTGGGCGGAGGCACTGTGAGCCTCTAGGCTCCCCCAGCAAGAGCACCCAGAGGCTGAGTACCCTGCTCCAAGGCCCTGAGGTCCTTCAGTAGGCCCCGAATTCAGTATCTGGCCCCTTTCCCAGAACCGCAAAGTGCTTGTTTACCTTCCAGCTCTTCCTGCATTTCGTGGGAGCGAGCAAGGTGTGCGTGTTTGTTTTGGACCAAAAGATGCCCTGCAAGCACCACCCAGGACAGGCTGACCGTGTCATCTGCAGACAGTGCCAAGCACTTTCCCAGTGTCTCAGCAGAGCTGCGCCCGCAGGGGCTGCGAGCAGGAGTGGCAGGGAAGGCCAGGCTGATGTGACGACGCTGCGCACCTGCCCCGTCCCATGCTGGGTGGACTCTGACACCTGGCCTGGCCTTCAAGGGGCAGCGATTAGAGGGCAGGGTGGGCCCCGGGTCCATTCACTCCCCAACTCCTGGGACCTCAGAATGTTAAGCTCAGCAGGGACAGTCTCAGCAGCCTGACTGGGGGCATCATAGTGAGATGAGAGGACTGTCCTGGATTACCCAGGTGAGCCCTAAATGCAACACCACACACACTCATACGATGGCGGCAGAGGTTTCACACTCACACCCACCCATACTCACATTCACACACACTTGCACACAATTCAAACACACACACGTATATCCACACCTATCCTCCCTCCCACACTCTCCCTCCCACACACAGACTCACATTCACACACACTTGTACACACATTCACACAAACAGACCCTCACACTCACACTCACTCCCCTTCACATGCACACTCTCATTCTCATTCACTGTCCATCTCTCACACACGCACACTCACACTCACATTCACACACACACACTCATACTCCCATGCACATTCAAACACACCCACACACACACAAGAGGAGGAGGCCATGTGAGCAGGGAGGCAGAGACTGGAGTGATGCAGTCACCAGCCAAGGGGCCCCGGCAGTCCCCATAAGCAGGGCGAGGCCAGGAGTGGATCGGCTCCTCCAGCCCTGCGGACACCTCGCCCTCACCCCTGTGACACCGCACTTCTGGGCTCCAGACCTGTGAGCGGCGTAAATGTGTTGGTTTCAGCCACCAGGTATGGGGTGACTTGTCACAGCAGCCTCAGGAAACGAATACAGAAGCAGCCGCCGACCCAGCTGTGCAGGTCTAGACGCAGGCCAGACCCTCGGCCTGCCTGACCCCCAGCTGCTGCAGAGGCTTCGCCAGGCGTGGTCCCCAGAGCCAGTGTGGGGTGAGGGGCTGGCCCAGCCTGGGGTGACCACGGAAGCTCAGGAGAGGAGAGCCCACCCTTTGGCCCTGTCAGTGGTGAAACGGGGACACGCTTCTCGGGGAGCTGGGGGATGGATTTTTGGAATCCGAAATCTTGGGGCACATGAGAACGAGGGCCTGTCACCACCCTGCCGGCTTGTGGGAAATGAGAACAGATCCACCCCAGGCACCGTAAGCCGGAAGGGGGAGCGAGGCTATTTTGAAGACAAAGAATCCCTGGAGGCAGGTGCAAGGGGCCGCTGGAGTGGCCAGGACCCCAAGCGCTGCTGGGGACCCACGGATGACCGCCTCCCCTCCTCTTGGCTTCCGCATCACCTGGTCTTTCCCACAGTCAGTGTTCTCCGGTCCCCAGGCAGCACGGGGAGAGGTGGCCCCAAAGTCAGCTCCCAAGATGCGTCCACTGTGGTTGCTTGGGCCAAGGCGCCAGACCCTGCTCAGGAGAAGAACAAGCTTCATGAGGATGTGGAGACACTGGGACCCTTGTGCGTTGTTGCTGGGAAGGCTGCGTGGTGCCGCTGCTGTGGGAGAGATGGCAGATCCTCGCCAAATGACACATGCAAGTACCACAGGCTCCAGCCATTCTACCTGTCAGGAGCCACCCAGAAGAGCCAACAGCAGGGTCTCAGAGAGGCATTTGTACAGCCGTGTTCATGGCCGCGTTACAGCAGCAGTTAAAACACGCAAGCGCCTATGCGTCCACCCACAGGTGAAGCGAACGCGGGAAGAAAATGTGGCACAGCCAGGCAGCGGAGTAGTATCCTACCCTAAAAAGGAAGGAAACTCTGAAGGTCGTGAATGAACCTTGAGGATATCACGCTAAGTGAAATAAGCCAGACACAAAAGACAAACACGGCCCGATTCCACTCACGAGGTGCTGGGCGTTGCCAAATTCAGAGACAGAAAACAGAATGGTGGTGCCAGGGGCTGGGGGAGGGGGTGGGGAGTTGTTTCATGGGCTCAGAGTTTCAGTTTTACAGGAGGAAAAGAGTTCTGGAAATGGACTGTGGTGACGTTTGCACAACATTGTGAATCTGCTTAATGCTAATGGAATGTACCCTTAAGATGGTGAAGATGGGCTGCGCAGGGTGGCTCACACCTGTAATCGCAGCACCTTGGGAGTCTGAGGTGGGAGGATTGCTTCAGGCCCGGATTTTGAGACCAGCTTGGTCAATATAGCGAGACCCCATCTCTACAAAAAATAAAAATAAATCAAGCCAGGCATGGTGGTTCACACCTGTAATCCCAGCACTTTGGGAGGTTGAGGCAAGAGTATTGCTTGAGGCTAGGAGTTCCAGACCAGTCTGGGCAACATAGTGAGACTTTGTCTCTTCAAAAAGTAAGAAAATTAGCTGGATATAGTGGTGTGCACCTGGAGCCCTAGCTTCTTGGGAGGCGGAGGTGGGAGAAGCGCTTGAGCCTGAGAGTTGGAGGCTGCAGGGAACCAACATCACATCACTACACTCCAGCCTGGGCGACAGAGTGAGACTCTGTCTCAACAAACAAACAAAAAACAAAATCAAAATCCGCTGAGTGTGGTGGCTCTCACCTCTAATCCCAGCTGCTTGGGAGTCTGAGGTGGGAGGATTGTGTGAGCTCAGGAGTTCGAGACCAGCCTGGGCAACACGGCAAGACAGTGTCTTTACCTGCACCAAAAAAGGAATTAATTTCAAAATGTTTTTTAAAAAGAAAATGTATTTCCCATTAAAATTACTTCCATGATGACCAACAAAACACAACACAACCAAACTCCAGATTTATAATACAAAAATCCCCCAAACAAAATAGTCAAGAAAAAGTGTAAGCGACATGTCTGTAATCCCAGCACTTTGGGAGGCCGAGGCAGGTAGATCACAAGGTCAGGAGATCAAGACCATCCTGGCTAACATGGTGAAACCCCGTCTCTACTAAAAACACAAAAAATTAGCTGGGCGTGGTGGCAGCGCCTGTAGTCCCAGCTACTTGGGAGGCTGAGGCAGGAGAATGGCGTGAAGCAGCAAGGTGGAGCTTGCAGTGAGTTGAGATCACGCCACTGCACTCCAGCCTGGGCGACAGAGCAAGACTCTGTCTCGAAAAAAAAAAAAAACAAGTGTAAATGAACAGAACAATGTGAATGTGTGCACCTGTTTGTGACAGTTAGCAAGCCACAACTGTCTGCAGGTGCGGAGGAGGCCGCAGTAGCTTCGGGTGGCTGAGGGATAAGACATGCTATCAGCCATGGCAAAGGAATCCCAGGACACTGCCTGAAGAGTCAGGTCTTCCCACCCAGGGGCCGGTTTACCATGCATGCCAGCTACGCTTTACAAAATAAAACAGGGGCTTTGCACCAACGAATGCTGAGATCAGCCATGAACCAAAAAGTGAGTCACTCAATGCTCGATGCCTGGGGTCAAAAAATAGACGGGGAAAAAAGGGCTAAAAGTAAATTAATTTATGTATCATTTACAAAACTTTTCAAAAAGTGTTTTGCTCTCCATCTGTCATACTTCTGCAGTGACAGACAAGTGAGGACATTTAGAGAGACTCTGGAACAAACCAGGCCCATCCACTAGTGTCCAGGCTAGTTGCGAAGACAGAAAAACGCCCCAGCTCTTTCTGTTTGCACGATGGCTGCCTGTGGCCCGGCCAGGGAGGTGGCCAGGAGTGAGGCCTGATCGTCTCTGGCGCCTCCACCTCGGCTTCCCCAAGCCCAGAAGGCGCCCACGAGGACCCCCATTGCCTGACATTGCCACGGTCTGGGATCACCGACCTGCGCCGCCCGCGCACCTGCTCTGGCGCGAGGGAACCTCCGCCTCACCAGGGCCCAGCCCTGCAGTGAGGCCCATGGGGTCAGACCGCAAAGTGAAGGTGCGGACCGGGTGGGCCTAGGGGAGACAAAGGCCAGGCCCGCCTGCTCGCAGAAGGCCTAGCTCTGGGTCCCAGTCCCCGCCAAGAGGAAGTACCCCAGGCAAGGAAGGGGTCACTGGCTTCCCAGGGCCCGCCGGCCGCAGCAGGAAGTTGGCCAGGGCTCGGCCATGAGCGCAGCAGGGAGGGCTTTCTCCGGAGCATGGGCGAGGCCGGCCCTGGAGGGGCGAGGACCGGGTATATGAAGCCTCGTGGCCAGGCCCGGGCATCCGCAGGTCCCCAGCGCGCCCCGAGCCCCTGCGCCATGAAGCTCGCCACCGCCCTCCTGGGGCTCTGCGTGGCCCTGTCCTGCGGCTCCGGTGAGCGCCCTGGGCTCCTGGCCCGCACGGTGGCCTGAGGCCTCGGCGCCCGCTGTGCCCCGCCCCTGCCTGCGCGGATCCTGGATCCCAGGGTCCTTCCAGCCTCGCCCAGCGCCCGGAGGGCTCCGCCACCCGGCGGCCCGTCCCAGGCCCCGCGCCTGCGCTCCCCGCGCCTGCAGCCCCAGGCCTCCGTCCTCTCAGGGCTCTCTCCAGCCTCGAGCCAGGACAGGGGCCGCCCGTGGCCTGGGGACGGCCGTCTGTCCCCTGTCTGGCCACCGTCCCCTCATCCTGCAAGGTGCAGCGCGAGTGTCCCCTCCTTGGAGGCTGCACAGAGTTCACCGGTCCTCCCGCCACCCTCAGGCCACTCCGGTGTCCCTGCAGCGTGTCCGCGCGGGGCCGCCTCCCCAGGCCCCCTGTGTCCCGGGGCTCGCTCCCGGCCTCGGCGCAGGACGGAGAGGGCGGTCAGGGAGCCGGGCAGGGCGCGACGGTTCCTGGGCGCCCTCCGCGGGGGCGCGTCCTGGGCCCGCCTTCTGGGGACCCCCGCGCGCAGGCGGTGACCCCTCCCTGTTTGCTTGCAGCTGCTGCTTTGTTTGTGGGTTCGGCCAAGCATGTGGCCCAGCCTGTCACTGAGCTGGAGTCGGGAGCAGAGGCCGCGGCCGGGACCCTGGCCAAGCCCCTCGGCACCACGGCCGACCCCCTCGGCACCCTCAACGCCGTCGGCACCCTCAACCCCCTCGGCACCCTCAACCTGCTGAAACGCCTGCTGGCAAGCCTGGGCATCCCCGTGAACCACCTCGTAGAGGGCTCCCAGAAGTGTGTGGCTGAGCTGGGCCCCGAGGCCATGGGGGCACTGAAGACCCTGCTGGTAAGGTGGGCACCCCGGGAACCTTCCTGCACCCGCGTCCCTTCCCGGCCAGCCTCAAAATTGCACCAGAGGTGTCCAGACCCTAGTCACGGCTGTTTCCTGTCCGGTCCTCCAAGCCCTGTCCCTGGGATAAGCCTGGGTCTCCCGGTGGGAACTGGGTGGGGCGCATCCGAGCTGCAGGGGCGGGGAAGGCGGAGGTGGCCCCGCGCGGGTGCGCGTCCCCGGAGACGCCAGCGGACCCGCCCCGCTCCCACTCCCGGCAGAGCCTGAGTTCTTGGGGGCAGGGTTGGGGCCCTCAAGCTCGGCCTCTGCTTTCCAGGGGGTCCTGACGATGTTTGGCCGAGCCGAGACTGGAGCAGCTACACCTGAGAACAAGACGCTGCCCACCCGCGGGGGCTGAAAATCCCACTGTGGGGCGGACCGTCCCGTCCCCTTCCCCGGCCCCTCTCAATAAACGTGGTTAAGAGCAGCCTGAGCCTGATATTTTCTCACCCAAATGCTGATGCCTGTGGGGGACCGAGGGTGCCAAGTCCCAGATACTGTGAGGGAGGGAGAGAGGGAGGGTGCGAGAGTCTGCGGGTGGCACAGAGAGAGGGGGCCAGCATCAGAGGTAAACTGTCTGTAACTGTGGAAGAAGCATAAAAATTATCTACTGCTTGAAGACTGGCGAGAATGCAAACGCGCCAAAGCCATTTGTTGCTAAAATTTGAAAGCTTTTATTTGTTTCCCTCTGTAATTGTAGATTTCTTCCTCGGAAATGGGGAAGGAATGAGGGCTTCAGGAAATTCGCTGCTGGGCTTGTTTTGCCTGTGGTTTCTGCTGGTTTTGTTCACATAACCTAGCGGCTTTGATTCCTTCTGCTCTACCAGAGAGACCTCCTTCTGTCCACTGATCCGAGTGCTGCTGGGAAGGTGCCCAGGGAACCCAGACATCGACGTCCATTTCAGGGGAAGCTTCCCAGTAAACTTCCTTGCCGGGAAAAATGACTCTGCCCCAGGTGGCTTGAGCAGGGCTTCTCCCCCCTACCATCGTGAATATTCACACAAGATTTAAAAATTTTTTTGCTTGGGCACAGTGGCACACACCTGTAATCCCAGTACTTTGAGAAGCCGAGGCAGGTGGATCACTTGAGTCCAGGAGTTTGAAACCGGCCTGGGCAACATGAGGAAACTCCGTCTCTACAAAAAATACAAAAACTGGGGGGGCGCGGTGGCTCATGCGTGTAATCCCAGCACTTTGGGAGGCTGAGGAGGGTGGGTCACGAGGTCAAGAGATCGAGACCATCCTAGCCAAAATGATGAAACCTCCTCTCTACTAAAAATACAAAAATTAGCTGGGCATGGTGGCTCAAGCCTGTAGTCCCAGCTACTCAGGAGGTAGAGGCAGAAGAATCGCTTGAACCTGGGAGGCAGATATTGTAGTGAGCCAAGATGGTAGCTGGGCGCAGTGGCTCACGCCTGTAATCCCAGCACTTTGGGAGGCCGAGGTGTGCGGATCACCTGAGGTTGGGAGTTTGAGACCAACCCTGACCAACATGGGAAAACCCCATCTCTACTACAAATACAAAATTAGCCGGGTGTGGTGGCACATGCCTGTAATCCCAGCTGCTCGGGAGACTGAGGCAGGAGAATTGCTTGAACCCAGGAGGTGGAGGTTGCGGTGAGCTGGAGATTGCGCCACTGCACTCCAGCCTGGGCAACAAGAGTGAAACTCCGTGTAAAAAAAACAAAACAAAACAAGATCGTGTCACTGCACTCCAGCCTGGTGACAGAGTGAGACTCCGTCTAAAACAAAACAAAACAAAACAAAAATACCAAAGTTATCCGGGCATAGTGGCCTGTGCCTGTAATCCCAGCTACTCGGGAGGCTGAGGCGGGAGGATCACTTGAATCAGAGAGGTCAGGCTGCAGTGAGCTGTGATTGCACCACTGCACTCCAGCCTGGTCAGCAGAGAGATACCCCATCTCAAAATACATAAATAATACAGTAAAATAAAAAGTTTGGCCATTTTCATGAGTTCACAAGCAAACCACAACAGGGAAGAAGCCACCTGGATCCAGATGCCATGAAATCTCATCCACGCATTGCCCCCAAGGCCCTGCAGGGCTGTGAATCTTCACGGGGTGGGGAAGGCTTTGGTCTGGACAACAGTGAACCAAGAGTGAGAATCACAAGGTCATGGGGACACTGACCCCACCATGACCCCAGGCCCACCTCCCCCAGTATTATATATCCAGGCTTTTTGCAGGTTGTCTGCTAAGAATTCCTTAACTAACTGGATTAAAACATCCAGGTAAATCATTATGGGAACATGGTAGAGCTTGTTGGAACTGATAGTGGCTGGGCTGTGGTACTATCCCGAGATGGCCCTGCTACCCTCCACCCCTGGAATCTTTCCAGGAAAACGACAGGGGGAAAGCAAAGTGCTTAGTAAAAAAGGGAAATTGCGAATACCAGTTGAAGTTCCAAGACCAGCTGCAACATCTAGCTTCCTTCCTCCTGTAGATTCCTGGAGGAGAGACCAACATAATCCTGGACGTGCTGGTCCCAAAGATACTGTTCGTCAGTGAGCAGGTATATGCAGACCTGCCCCCAAAGACCGAGGGAGCTAAGGGGCTGAAGAAAGAGTCTGACAAGTTCAGTTTCTCATAAATAAACATTTAATAGGGACTTAAAACCAGAAGCCACGTCTCGGGTGGACTTGCGGTGGTGCATCCCCCGCGGTCGACTCCCAGGCAGGGTGTGTATCACGGGGAAAAGGTACATATGCTTCAGCAGGGATGTGTGAGACAACGAAAGTCGACCCCTCAAAGGCAAGAGTGCTATGGCCAAAGTGCTGGGACTGAGGCATGACCCATGGCGCCCAGCCCAAGGATAAAATGTTTTAAAATGGTTACTATTTGAAAAATATTTTATATTGCCACAAAAGACCAAACGCAAATTCTTTAAAGCAGCCTCTAAAAGTGGAAGTTAGGACAACAAATAAACTTAACTTGGTTTCTAATGGGGGCCTAACCACCAAGGAACTATTCTAAGTAATGTAAAAATGTAGTAATTTAATTTACGCCCTGGGATGGGTCCACCCCAAGGACAAGAGGAACTGTGAAAATAATTTTAAACTTCTCTTATTGGCGGCATTGCTCTACTGAGGCCCTTCTGTGCATATTCTGTGACAACTCAGATGTGTAATCAAGTTACTGTCATTGAAGTCAGATTTCTGGCAAAGTTAAAAGAAGATGCTGATGATGTAAGAGTAAGTAAAACCTTAAGGCTCAAGATCACACTTGGAAGTATAATTGTAAATGCCTGATGTTTTTAGACGTGGAGTCTCACTGTCACCCAGGCTGGAGTGTAATGATGCGATCACAGCTCATCGCAGCCTTGAACTCCTGGGCTCAGGTGATCCTCCCACCTCAGCCTCCCAAGTAGCTGGTACTATAGGTGTGAGCCACTGTACCCAGTTTTTTTTTTTTTTTTTTTTTTTAAATTTATGGCTGGCATGGTGGCTAATCCCAGCACTTTGGGAGGTCGAGGCAGGAGGATCCCTTGAGCCCAGGAGTTCAAGATCACCCTTGAACAAGGGCAACAAGGTAAGACTTTGTACAGAATAGTTTATAAAAATTAGCTGGGTGTGGTGGCGCACGTCTGTAGTCCCAGCTACTTGGGAGGCTTAGGTGAGAGGGTCACTTGAGCCCAGAAAGCGAGCTGTGATTGTGCCACTGCACTCCAGCCTGGGTGACAGAGTGAGACCCCTTCTCTGGGTGACAAAGCAAGTCCCTGTCCCCCCCCCAAAAAAAAACACCCCAGCATTAACAGGAGTTTGGAAGAAGCTGATTCCGGTCTAATGGATAACCAAGGGGTTCAAGGCTTCAGGTAGTAACTGCAGATGTGGTAGAAATAACAAGAGAACTTGAATTAGAAGTGAATCCTGACTGAAGATGTGGCTGCACTGCTGCAACCGCATGATAAAACTTGAACAGGTGAGGAGTGGAGTGAGGAGTTACTCCTTATGGATGAGCAGAGAAAGTGGTTTATTGAGATGGAATCTCCTCCCAGTGAAGAGGCTGCGAACCTCACTGAAATGACCACATAGGATGTTTTTAGAAGAGTACACAAACTTAGTTGACAAAGCAGCAGCCGGTTTTGAGGGGATTAACTCCAATTTTGAAAGAAGTTCTACTGTGAGTAAAATTCTATCAAACAGCATTGCATGCAACATAGAGAAATCTTTTGTGAAAGGAAGAGTCAATGCTGCAAACTTCATTGTCTTATTTTAAGAAGTTGCCACAGCCGCCCCAACTTTCTGCAACCACCACCCTGATCAGTCAGCAGCCATCAACATTGAGACAAGATCCTCTACCAGCAAAACGATTATCACTCACCGAAGGCTCAGATTTGTAGGCAATAAAGTATTTTAAAATTAAGGCATGTTCCTTAAGACATAATGCTATTGCATACTGAATAGACTACACTATCGTGTAAACATAACTTTTACATGCACTGAGAAACCAAAACGTTCACAACTTGCTTTACTGCAGTGGCCAGACACAAAGCCCTCAATATCTCCGAGGTACGCCTGAATTCAGCTGTCCCAGCACTATTCATTGAGGATGCTACACGTTCCCCTATTGAGATATCTTGGCAAGTTGGTCACAGATCAATTGACCAGAAATGTAAGGTCTTATTTCTTGGGATTTAAATTCTATTCTATTGACCAATATGCTATCCTTATGCTAGAACCACATTGTCTTGATTACTCTAGCTTCGTAATTAGTTTTAAAATCAGGATGTTTTAGTCCTCCAACTTTGACCCTCTTCAAGACTGTTTGGCTATTTTGGAGGTCCCTTGGATTTCCATATGACTTTAAAGATTAGATTGTAAATTTCTGCAATAAACAAAAAGTCAGCTGGGATTCTGGTAGAGACTGCATTGAATCTGTAGATCAATTTAGGGAATATTGCCATCTTAATATTATCCTCCAAGCCAAGAACATGAATTCCTTGCTTTCTTGGGAGAAAGTCTTAGTCTTTCACCATTAAGTATATCAACTCTAGGTTCAGATTGAGGAAGTTCTCGGTTTTTTGTTTTTGAATGGAGAGTAAGTTTCGTCAATGATCCTATGCTTTTGTCCTTTATTTTACTGATACAATGCATCACATTAATTGGATAAACCCCACTTGGTCATGGTGCAAAATCCTTTTTTATATGTTGCTGAATCCTATTTTGCTAGTATGTTTTTGAGGATTTTTGGATCTATATTTAAGTGATTGGTATGTAGTTTTCTTTGAGATATCTTTGTCTGGTGTTGATATCAGGGTAATACTGATCTCATAGAACGAGTTAAAAAGTGTTCCCTCTTCTACTTTTTGAAGTTTGTGAGGAATTGGTATCAACTTAAATACTTGATAGCATTCACCAGTGAAGCCATCAGGGCCTATGCTTTTCATTTTGTAGTTTTTTCCATTACT